TCAAATAATCGTTTATATATATCTCTTCTTTCCTATTTAAATTTATTACACTACAGCGTATGCTATCAAAGTCCCCCTACACCAGGCAATGGCCGCCGCCAACACCCCTTCAACCATATCTATCCCAATGTGATAAGATCATAATTATTAACTTGTTAAATTGTTTGTATATTATGTTATTACTATAGTTCTCAGTCAACTTTTTACTGTCACCATTTCGTTTCATCGACTTTAAAATCACAACAATTCTAAAGAAGTTTTCACTTCAAAAATAGCCCGTAGTTTCATTATTCTTATAATATAGGTACGTTCCACTGCTGGGTACAGGCATCTTCTTATTTCTGAGGATTTGAAGATAGAAATAAAATCGAAAGTCAACAAAAATTTAAAATTAATTTATTTTGAAAATTTTATAGATGCTTTAAATCCGTGAATGAAATTTATGCTATTTGTAATGTCTTTCTGCCTTTCTGACTTTTTATTGCTTTTAATTTCCTGAAAAATATTAGCATTTCTTCTAAAAACTCAATTTGATAACTATCGCATCGAAACGCTCTTTTATATTTTTATTAGGAGATTGCAGTTTACTTGAGTATAAGAATTCAAACAAATTATTAATTTTATTTACAAAATCAGAGATATCTCTTGCGGCAACGGCGGTTAATCCTTGTGCTCGCTGCTAGCACAGTATAAATATATAGCTGTGATGCTAGGACGAACCAATTTCATAATGTACTATTAGGACGTGAGAACCTAATTTTTTATTAAGTCTGTGGCCTATCTTTTTTTTTTTTGGTTGTGTGTGATATTTTCCCCAATTGCGAACCAATTGTGATGATACTTTTTATTAAATAGATCATACTTCTAGAGTGATCTTAATTAGGAGGACAAATTTTACCCCTAAGTATGTCAAAATAGGGAATAAAGGTTTTAATGTAACTATTTTGACAACATTAAAGTTGTTATAATCCTTAGTATTTTTAACAGGATACAAATATAACTCTTACTAAAAAGAAAAAGCCGACAACAAAGAAGCAACTTGAATTAAATTATTTTACATTCTGAGTCAGAGCTATAATTCTTCAATGCACAGAGAACAAAGTCGATATCGTGATTTTATATGATTTTATGTATAAATTTTTCCGTAAATTTCTGTAAGCCGACCCACGTTCGATCTCTGCCGGCACCAATGGATATACGGATTTACCACTTGCTCAGCGCAGAACGAAAAACATCGTGATTGATATTTAAAGGACGTGAAGGGCCGGCAATACGCAATGGGGCAGCGCAGCGAACATTTACATGCCCTGTAACCCTATCAGAAATGAGAGGAGTCCTGTGCCCAGCTGTGGGACGTAAATAGTCTGCAACTTTTCTTTTGCTTAAAACTTTTGACATAAGAATATTTATTGTACTCGTATTTCTTAATTAAAACATTTATTTCAGGCGGCATTGGCACCTTAGTCGGTACGGCTACAAACTTAGTGCTGAAGGGACTTTTTCAAAAGTATGTAACACCAACTTCTAATTAATTTTTATAGATCAATTAATGAAATGTTTTGTAAAAGCTTCCTATTACTGTTGAATTTCGTTCATCCTTCAATTTCATTATTTGAATTTAAGAAATTTTATATAATGTATCCAGAATGTTAAAGAAAACCTACCATGTGTACTTGCATGACACGCCGGTATACTCTCATAGACATGTGTCTTCAAGTGAGAGCAAATGCCGAACATATTATTTTAATTTATTTTCCCACACAGTCACTTGTTATAAAAAACTTGGAATGTCTTTTTTCTACGTTTAAAAATCTCTTCCTAAACAACATTTATCCTGAACACCTCAAAATTCTTGTCACCTCAAAAATCTGTCTTCTCAGATACTCCTTTAATCTCGCAACTAGATTATTAGGTGCGAGTTAAAGTAGATAATATAGAGAATGCTCAAGTATTTCAAAACTAGCATCTCTTGTGCACTTAATATATTCTGTCTGTATTCTTTCTATATTCATAATGATATTCTGTCATTACCACACTTTATTTATCCCAAAAAAGATATGATTCGGCGGATTGACTTTCCTTGAATTCTTTAGGAGTTGGAGATAGTTCTTTCCAAGTTATATACGTAACTTTAGTTCGGGATCAAAATGATGAGATACGAAGAAAGAGCATTCTCTTCGCTTGTGATAACAAGCGCCATCTAGTGGCGAACTGCTGAAGACTTGCCTTTTGATAGTTCTAATATGAACCACCACCCGATTGTGCGCTAGGTGCTTTTCGGGAGTACGAAATTACTACCTAGACTTTAAATATAACTCGATTGATTCAGAACTTGACTTCGTCGGGAGTAGAAGACACTATCTTGTTGAAACTGTTCCAATAAGTAAGCATTCTGGGTACCCAAGGCGGGAAATACTCTTTGCATCTCTACATCATACAAATCTTTGTTTCTTAAGCAATAAAAGCGATTGTGACACGGCAATCCTCTATACCTTTTTTACCTCTTCTTCTAGTATTAGTGGAATATGATGAAGCAATTTTTTTTTAGAATGGGGATGACAAATGAGCACATAGGCCACCTGATTGTAAATGGATGTTGTAGCTCATAGACATTTACATCTATCCTCGATTATGAATCAAAATACAGATGCGTTGTCACCACTGATGACTAAAATAGAATGCTTTGTTTCCAATTAAAAGGGTCTCAGGTTCCCTACACTCATTATACGAAACACAGCAGCATTAACCCTAAAGCCTACCCATCCCTGGAGAAACACTATTACTACGCTGGAGACCGAGAGGACCTCAATATATTTTGGTTTATATTTTAGAAATGAAACAACATTTTACTAGCATCTATGATTTTTATTAACATCAGTAGTTGATCAGCATTATTGTAACATAAAAAATGCAAAAAATCTTTCTCCGTCACACATTCCTGGCATATATTCTAGGTATGTTTCTTGCACAAGGGGTTTCGGCACATAACACATCTGATTTTGTTTTTTCGTTCTTTGTTATTTGGACAGGCCAACTATCCTTTTTTGTAGGTAGAAGAGAGTTTTGTTCTATCAATATACGTTTCTTTTTCAAGATACCTCCCAGGAGAACCTGAAGATGAGTGGGCAAATTAGGCCATGTGAATATTTCTTCCATTTGAGGGGTAAAAAGATTCATGCCAAGCATTTTAGGAAATGGCATTTTTTTGGACTTGATTTGTTGCTATTTTCAGCAGGAATATGAATTGACGCCCACTATATTAAAATACCATAAAAACTGGCCAATAGTCATCTTTTGGTCCGTCTGTCTACGCTGTATCGATGACATAATTAGTCCATCAAAATGATGCCACATTTGATCTTGTTATAAAAGTCTACTTAGTAGTAGTATTTGGCTGGTATCAAGATCCGCATCTGTATACATAGTTGACAACAATAGGATCAATTTTCTCCTGGTTAGATTTAGATAAAGAATACAGATAAAGTTTTAATAAATTTTATATATAGCTTTAATAACGTATGTCTCTCGTAGTATATTTTAACTCTATCTTCGTAAGATGCTTCATATAAAAGGTCGGGGGAAAAGTTTCTTCTTATTTGATATACAAATTCAAGACATTTTTTTTTTCAAATTTCAACTACATTTAATTTAATAATATATATGTGCCATTTTGTTCGATAACTTGTTGCTATCTTGTAGGGAGTGACATAATTCCGTTGCTGTAGGAATCTTGGAATTTTTGATCAAAAAAAAATGCTAAAACTAGTTTTGACAGTCCTCTCTTGATGTTAACCTAACACTACCCAAAAAATTCTGAAGAGACCGAAACAGGTTAAAATCTAAGGGTACAAGATTAGGACTATATGATGGATGTATTAACATTTCCCAACCAAGTGCTCTAAATGTTTGCTGATTGGTCAAATATGTGTGTGGTCTAGCATTATCATGATGAAAGACAACTCCTTTCCTGATGCTCAATTCCGGCAGTTTTTTCTCAATTTCTTGCTTGATTCTCATTACGTGTTGGCAGTAGAGATCTGAATCGATGGTTTTGCCCGACGGTAAACCCTTTGACCATGAACTTTTTACACGTTTCTTGTCGTAAATGATCTATTTTTCATCACTAGTGATCATTCTTTTCAAAAATGGTTCGGTTTCATTACGTTTAATTAGAGAATCGCAAATGAGTACACGATTCATTAGTTTTATTTCAGTAAGCTCGTGTGGTACACAAATATCGAGTTTTTTTGTATGGTAAGACTTTTTCAAATGGGTCATAACTGTTTTATGGTCAATTCTCAATTCATTTCCTATGTCGCAACTACTAATATACTGATCTTGCTACACTTTTTCAAAAATGCCATCGACTTTATCCGTATAAGGGCGACCAGAGTGGGCTGCATCTTTGACATCAAAATTTCCGGACTGAAAGGCTTGAATCAACATTGTGCTACTTTTACTGACAAGCATTAGATACATAAACGTCACATTTTTTTTGCTGCTTGAGTCGCATTTTCCCTTTTTGTAATAGATTTTCAGAATATATCTAATTTCTTCGTTAGATTCACCCATTTTGGCGCACAGAAAAACAATTGAAAAATTGGGGGTAAGCGTTTTTCACTTTTTATTTTGCTTTTTCTTAATGTCCTATATATAAAAGTATTAAAACCAGCCAGATACAAACAGTACAACTAAGGAGATTTTGCTTCAATTTTATGCAAGCAAAAAAAATAATAATTATAAAAAAAATTATACTTTTGTATTTAACTTATTCTGTTTACTCAACTTAAATTAGAAAAAAACTATTTCAATTGTATGTATATAATTTTAAATTTTAACAAAAAAGAAATTAAAGCGATTTAAAAACAAATTTATAGAAATAAGCATACATAGATGTACATTATTTATTTTTACTTCTTGTTTATAGGGCCTACCCGGACGCACCTGAATATTTGTCATTCCCAAAATTCTCTGCATTTTCGGTTCCATACATGATTATTATGGAAGCATTATTATTTATAAATCTCATTGTGCTATATCTTGGATATTTTAGGTAAGTCATAATTTTTTTTTCAATTTATTAATTTCTTTCCTTTTGAGGATTAGACCTGTTATTTGATTATTGTAGTTAAATGTTTATTCAATCAACATTTTCTTAGTTTAATTTGAAATTAAAAAGAACATTACTATTGTTCTTTAAAAATAGCAAAAATGAAATTTTAATAAATTGTATCCAGTACTTCCTATAGTTGCATCAATGCCAGTAGCTGTCGTCTTTGCGTTAAAGCATGGTGCCTTATATCTAGAGATGGAAAAATGTTAAATCGATTTAAAAAAGCGATTAACGATACACATAGCAAAAAAATTATCGATAAGTTATCGATAAAAAAATTAAAACCGAAACATTTATTTCTATATAAATTAGGTACAATGCTCAAATTTTAGTTACAGTTTAATGCAAATAATGACATTATAATAATTCTATGTATTTAATTTGAAAATAAAAATCATCTTCTGTTTTATTTTATTTGCAACATGTACTTGACATAAAAACAAATAAAATGACTGCTAGCTTCTGTGATTTTCAGTACGGCGTTGACTGCACCTGCAGCTTTTCTAGGTACGAGTGCTGGCGTTAGACATAGGTAATACAGCGCTGCGAATTCACTGCGTTGATGTGTTAACTCACTGTTTCAAAATGTGTTGGACTCGGGAATTGCCGGAACGACTGGGAAATTCGAAAGTTGCGAAGATGTTGTTATATTTATATTATTATTTCTTAACAGTGGAAGAGCCAAGCGGCAGCTTTTGCTGTCGCACGGATGGGCCGGCTCGAACCGGGGTGGTATCACGACATCACAGAATACCAATATGAAGTAGAGGTTTTACCTCTGCGTTGCGCTTGGTGAGTGCACCTGCACTCACCTGCCACCTGACCGGAGTCCCAATTTCCCCCCACCCCAACAACAACATGGGACAGGAATTAAATAAAAGACTACCCCAGGAGGGTACCAGCACCCCTGGAGAATCCCTCGCTGAGCATCCACGACCAAACTACTCCACTCCTGAAATTCCGCTCGCGACTAATGCTGCCCGGGGCAAGTGGAGCGTGACAGGGGTCGCCTCGGTTGTATTGCTATACAACCGAGGCGACCCCTGTCACGCTATCCGTGAATTTTTGCAACATCAGGGGACTTCATTCCAACCTTAACGCTGTCCATTACCATCTAGAGACGGCGAAGCCGGCCTTGCTCTTTTTAACCGAGCCTCAGGTATCCTCTCCCGCTGATACTTCATATCTCTCCTACCAGGGGTACAAATTAGAACACTCCTTTGTGCCCCGGGCTGGAGTTTGGGTATACGTCAGAGATGAGATCTGTTTTCGACGCCTTGGCAGTCTTGAATGTATGGACCTGTCCATTCTATGGCTGCGCGTATACAGCGACGACCATCCCCGCGTCTACGGGTGCCTCTATAGGCCCCATAGCGGTAATGCCGAGACAGACCGACTCATCGACCACGTCCAAATGGCTGCAGACTTCGTGCTACAACAGGTCCCATCCGCAGAGATCGTGATACTCGGTGATTTTAACGCCCACCACGCTGAATGGCTTGGTTCTCGTTTCACCGATCATGCGGGTAGATCTGTCTATGACTTTGCCTTGGCATATGGTCTAACACAAATGGTTACTTCGCCTACGCAGATCCCAGATGTGGAAGACTATGTGCCTTCCCTGTTGGACCTTCTGCTGACCTCTCATCCGGACGGATACCAGGTCTCCGTCGATGCCTCTCTCGGCACTTCGAACCATTGTCTGATCCGGAGTACGGTGCCACTCACCCTCCAATCGCAGTTGCGATCTGCAGCTTGCCGCCGTGTTTGGCACTATAGGTCAGCTGATTGGGACGGGATACGGTCTTTTTTTGCATCCTACCCTTGGGTTTGCTTCTCGCCGGAAGATCCCAGCGTTGTTGCCGATTCTGTTGCAGATGTGGTACTTCCGGGTATGGAACTTTTTATTACATCCTCTGTGGTGCCCATCGGAGAATGATCCCAGCCATGGTTTGGTCGCTCCAGTCGGTCGGGCCTGGGCTGACGCAATCACGTCTTGGGATGTAAACACCAGCGCACTTAAAAATAAGTATAATTCCGTCTCCAGGTCCTTCAAAAGCGTCATTGCCAAGGCAAGGTCTGAGCACATCGGCAGAATTGGCGAGAAGCTAGTTGGCCTTCCTTCGGGAACCCGTGCATTCTGGTCTCTCGCCAAGGCTGTCCAATGGAACTTCTATCAGCCATCTCTTCCATCTCTGCATAGAGAGCACGACTCACTGGCCCATTCCGCAAAGGAGAAAGCCAATCTGTTGACCTCTCTCTTTGCGTCCAACCCGACTCTCGATGACTGGGGGAACACACCGCCAACCATCCCGCGATGTGAGTGCTCCATGCCGGATGTACGGTTTACACAGCGCTCGGTTCGCAAAGCACTCTTCTTCCTGGACGTCAGCAAGTCGAGTGGGCCTGATGGATTTCCTCCCATTGTGTTGAATACGTGTGCTCCGGAGTTGGCACCGGTTTTAACGCGTCTTTTCCGGTACTCCTAGTCCCAAGGCGTAGTCCCGAATTTATGGAAGACAGCTTTGATCCACCCGATCCCTAAAAAAGGCGACTGCTCAGACCCGTCCAACTACAGGCTTATCGCCATCACCTCCTTGTTCTCCAAAATAATGGAATCCATTATAAACTGCCAGCTCATGATGTATCTTGAGGATCACCAGCTGATTAGTGACCGCCAGTACGGTTTTCTGGATCACCAGTTTCCTTGCTGATCAGAGCATCAAGGTCGTAGTAGACGGTGCATGCTCTGATTTCAAGCAACGCTGTTTCTCCTGCATATCAATGATATATTGCAAACTGGTAGCATTCATTGCTATGCAGACGACAGCACTGGTGATGCCTTATATACTAGCCGTGCCAATATTTCTCAGGAAAACGTCGCCGAGTACCAGGACAAACTTGTGTCTGAAGTCGAGTCTTTGCTTATCAAAGTCTCGGATTGGGGGCGACTAAATCTAGTCCAGTTCAATCCCCAGAAGACAAAAGTTTGCTCGTTTACCGCTAAAATGAAACCCCTTTGTCGTATCTCCTCAGTTTCAAGGCACTCCCCTTGCTGCCTCAGCTAGCATCGGAATCGTTGGCCATCCAACCGAAGGGAAGGCCAAATTGCCCTCTAAAAAGCTTGGCGTGCTCAGCAGAGCGAGACAGTATTTCATGCCGGCACATCGCTTGCAACTTTACAAAGCGCAAGTTCGGCCTCACATGGAATACTGTTCTCATCTCTGGTCCGGGGCACCCCAGTGCCAGCTCCTTCCACTTGACCACATCCAGCGCAGAGCGGTTCGAATCGTCGACGACCGAGTTCTTTCTGATCGGCTCGATACACTGGCACTGCCTAGAGATGTTGCATCTCTTTGCGTATTTTATTGCATCTATCACGGGGAATGCTCTGAGGAATTGTTCGAACTAATTCTAGCCGCTCAATTTCACTATCGCACATCGCGACAAGACTCGCGTTATCACCCATACCATCTGGATGATTGGCGGTCCACCACTGTGCGATTTAGAAGAAGTTTTCTACCTCGCACAACTTCCTTGTGGAGTCGATTACCACCAGCGATTTTTCCGGACCGATACGACTTAGGAACCTTCAAGAAAAGAGCTTACACCTTTCTAAAAGGCCGGCAACGCATCTGCAATTCCCCTGGTGTTACGGTTATTGATGGGCGGCGGTAGTCACTTACCATCAGGTGAGCCGCATGCTTGTTTGCCCCCTCGTCTATAAAAAACAAAAAAAAACTGCAACTCTGTGAAATGTAAAAGGGGTGATACATAGTATTTAATATTTAAACAATCTTTCTTTCCTACATTTTATTTTACTAACTGGCTACACGATTTTATTTTGACACGTACCTGAGTTGATAAATGTGCTTAAAATTTGTTGTGCCATGACGCAATTTTGGGTAAACACAACTGCATATTCGTCTACGTATGTCTTTCTTTTTCGGCAAATCAGAACTTGTTAAACGACTAGTTAACGTTCCAGACTCAAAATTTTCTGCATTACTCATTTTTAATATTATTCTGAAAAAAGTAAAAAATCTTATGAACTTACAACGTATGCACTTCAAAAAATCTCAAAAATGACATCATACAATAAAAAGCACATAACCAAATTATAGCCTCAAACGCCCAGATAATATCCTTGCATCGCACGCGTAATGCCACTTTAGTTATTGAAAACAACAGTACCTACAGTCGCTTAAGGAACTAACCCACAAGGCTTTTACTTTTTACTAAATGTACTTATCTAAGCCGCATCACGTAAGTTAGGTACTGTATTAATTACTAGTATAAGAAGGAAATAATAAATGATGGTCGAAATGAGGACGTCGATGCACAGCATGGCGGGGCGGGCGGCATCACTCAGCGTGAGAAATAACGAAACAGAAAAATTTTATGTTTATTGGTAATCCGAGTTTGGTGAGAAAATATGAAATGTCAAAACTAATAAGGTTATGTGTGTTACCTCGTAACTTTTTTTCTAGGTGAATCAATTTAGATTTCTTTTTTTATTTGAAAGCTGGTACTTCTTATGAAGTACCATATAAATTTGATCAAGGTCTAACCAGTAGTTTGTGAGTTATCTTTAATAATGTGTTTTTTTTATGTCGGTTGTACAAAATTTTACCAGTTGTATTTTGTAATTTCCAGTTGAGTTTAAATTGATTTTTTATCTTTGAGTATTGCTTTTATTGTTGTGTTTTTTTTTAGTTAATTTTGCTATTTATTAAGTTTTTTTCTTTAAAACGCCGAAGTCAACAAATAATTTGTTTAAGGGAGTTGAGTAACCCCCCCCTCCCCGTTAGTAATTCGCCTTCGAGAATACGCTAAGTGAGGAAAGAACCATTGCCACTTTTTCTATTTATTTATTTGTTTAAAACGTAGATCATGAATCCTAAGCTACTTAAATTTAGTATACGACGATATTAAAATAGAATACGACGGCATTGCACCACACATACTAAAATATCTACATCTCCATAGTAACAGTAAAACTTTTATAATTTTATCAGTAAAAAAACAATATTCGGTAAGATTTTTGAACTTAATGTTAATCTAAATAATAGCCCTAACAGAGTAGAAAAAATAACAAAAAAAATCTAGTGTTATTTTTTATATATCTTGCAAACGCACGTAAGTAACGTTCTAGTGACCAGTCATCCGCACCATGCTATAACACAAAGACTATAGTATACAATATTATGTTGTTTTATCGTCATGTTCATCACATTTTTTGAATTATATTAAATTGGATGCCGTAAGCGCAACGCGCATAGGTATGTTCTACTAGGGCCTAAAAATTAAGATTCCAACCTTTTGTCGCATTAAATCGTATCTAGCCATCATATTGTACATATAACTGATATAAAAAGCACATTGTCAGAAAGATAAATTATTGTTGAAATTATTAATATTTTTTTAAAATCGATTAATTGCTATTTTTAATTAAAAATGGGTTTTAGTGGCTTATCAAGTCCGCAAGGCTTGTAAACACGATAACTTTTGAAAATATCAATTGTTCAACTCAATATATTTTTAAAACTCTTCATCTATCATGTGGGAAGCCATTGAATTTAAATCGCAGTTTAATTTTGTTTAGTTTATTTAAAATAAATTTGTTTCGGCTGCGAAATGGCGAAATTTTCGGTGTTTGAGCAGCCTTGTGTGAAATCATTTTAGTAAATAGACTGTGTCACTCGGGTACGACGTCAACCGCCGTTGTGAGTGAATCAAAAAGATCGCTGTACAAATGAATACAGAATATTCGAAAAACCAATTTCTTACTATTTTATATTACTTGATTATTAAAATATTCAAAGATTTTTATTACAATATTTTAAAAGCACAGAATAAATAATAGTATGTAGTACGTAATAGGTATATATGTAGGATGTAATATTTATACTTAAATAGGTCTTGGACTTTATGGAGTGACATGACTAATGATATTATGTTCATATGAGCATTAAGAGTCGTGCACTTTTGGGTTTTCCAAACTTTTTTCAAATTGAAGTTTGACATAAAATTATCGGAAAATTGGAAGTATAATAAGGTTATTAGTGAAAACTTCTGTGTATTTAAAAAAATTCCTTATAATCATGTTATACGTAATTTTTTTAATGCGATTAGGGCATGCTCAATTGGATTTACCAAAAGTTTTTAGTTTTTATATCCATATCGTAGCAAAGATTTTAATTTTAAATTCTTATTGGTAAGATAAAAGAGTGTCTAAGATGCTAATAATATCAATATGTCCATCAGTGGAGTGGCTGAGAAAGAATATAACATATTATATCATTGTATATTATGTTATTGTAGCTACATTTAGGCGATACTATATTATATGTATAGTATAAATTGTACAATATTGTTTCAGATTTAAAGGTAAAAGGGGACCAGGTTATTTCGATTTTTATTATTTACTAGTTGACCATGCGGACGTTGTTCTGCCCTCTCCGACGACCTTTTGTCCTATAAAAATTCTTAAATTCGTAATAAAAAATATTGAGGGTCACTTATAGGGATAAAAACTATCCTATCTCTCAAGTTGGACCCAAATACACACAGTGTGTAAAATTTCATTGCAATCAGTTTAGTAGTTTAGGAGTTCATCGCGGACAAACAATGTGACATGTATTATTTATATATAAATATAAAGATAATGATAATAGAATATGAGATGATGTTGTCTAATAGCGGCGTAAGCGAATCTTGTACGTGCTATATTACGGTCTTAGCACGAATTGGTCGCCTCGACCGGCGAAAGACCACGCCCTCACAGAATAACAGCGTAAATAATAAAGTCTCTCCCTAGTTTGTGTGAGGCGTGTTTAGGAAAAACCAGAAAGACCATAATATTATGGCTCTTCACAGAATTTGGTGTTATACCTGCTTAAACCAGACATGAAATATCTAAACCAGTGTGGGAAGTAGGAAGTAATAAAGAGACCACTCAACATATAAAAAATCCCATTTGTTTGGCAAAACGTATCTTCGAATTAACGCAAAATGCAATTAACTCACTTTAATTTATATGTATTTTAGACCAAACAGTGCAGCTGCGAAGGAAACTTCGATAACTCCTGATGGCATAGCGGCTGCTAAAAGAGCTGTTGATGCTGACTGGAAAAAATTAGGAAGAATAACCTTTTGGGAATATGTTAGTAAATCGTTTATCTTAATACTTTAAGCGAGCAATTCATCTATTTGATATGTTTATGTAAGTGGTCATTCAGAAACTTCTCTAACGATTTAGATGCAATTCTGTAGGTACAATATTTTGTTTTTCCATGTTTAGATAAACATAATGTTAATGATTTTCCGAGTTTATCTAAATAGTTATCATCTCTAAAAGTTTATTATTAACACTCAATTAATTAACTTTTTTATAAAGCTGAGCGAAGCTCGGTCGCTCAAATACTTGAGGTTTGAGGTTTGAGATATCTTTATTTCTCATAAGAATTTACAACAATTCACTTACATGAGAAAGTTTAAATACTTGCAAACAAATAATAATCTTATCCTAGGCGTACACTAATATATCGAAATCATTTCACTCAAACACGTTCAAATCGTAGGTATTCATTTTAAATAATTTTAATTTCTAAGTATGAACAAAATACAATGTAGATTAACAGGGTACTTGTAAAAAAACTAACATAAACAATGCTTGGACGCGCACCTTACACAGATCGAGGGTAGCTAGAAGTGACGTGTGAAATAGTGAAACTAAGGTGCGCTCAGATTAGATGTTAAATAATATTTTAAGTGCTTTCTAAAAGTTGGCATTGATTTTGCTTCTTTAATATTTTTCGGTAATTGGTTATACAATTTTGCACATTCGTACATTAAATTTTTTTTACCATAATTAGTTCTTGGGGTTAAGAGGCAAAGGTCGTTTACACGTCTTAGTCTAATTTTTTGTATTTGTTGTTTCTTTGTGAATGTTATTTGAGTATGTATGTCTTTATTTAATATTTTTCTTATTAATATACAAGTTTTATATGTGTATATATATATATATATATATATATATGTTTAAGTTATATTTAATAATTTTGTTTCTTTATATAGTAGATTTGTTGGTGTGAGGAAATCATATTTAAACAAGGTTTTAATTAATTTATTTTGTGACCTTTGTAGTGGTTCTAGACTTGTTTTTGCAGCAGTGCCCCAAATTTCAGTCAAGTATTCTAAATGCGGTTTTATGAGAGAGTTATATATATTATATCGAATTCGGTGCGGTAAACATGTAATCATACCCCGTAGGGCTCCAGAAAGAGAAGTTAATTTTGTTTTAATTTTAGAAATATGTGGTTTCCATGTTAAATGCGAGTCTAAGATCAGTCCAAGATATTTGTGTTCATCAACTTTATTTATAATTTGATTATTTAGTTTCAATGGTGTATAATGTGATGTTGATTTTGTTTTTTGCTGTAAGTAACATATAGTTTATTTTTGATATATTTATAGTTAGCCGATTGCATTGAAACCAGATATTTAGAAGTTCTAAGTCATTTTGTGCGTCTTTAATAACAGAGTCTATAGAATGGCCAAAGTAGAATAGAGTGGTGTCATCGGCGTATAACGTTATGTCTCCCTTAAGCCCGAGATCTTTTATATTATTTATATATATAAGAAACAAGAGAGGCCCCAGAATCGAACCTTGAGGTATACCACAAGGCACAACCCTGGGTCCACTCTGTGTTTCACCCATTTTAACCACTTGCAACGATTAGTGGGGTAAGATCTGAGTATCTCATTAGCGGTTCCCGTAATGCCAATGTCAGATAGTTTCTTTAATAATATGTCGTGACTAATTGTATCAAAGGCCTTCTTTAAATCTATGAAGACTCCAAGTGCTATTTGTTTTTTATCAATGTTGAGTTTCACTTATTTTAAATACCATTTCATTTAAAGAAACTGCAACTCAAATGCTGTAAATTGCACAGTACGTGAGTAACCCGGGTTCGATCCCCGCCGGCACCAATGAAATTGTTAATGCAATTTCCACTCAAACGTTCGTGGTTACACAAGTATTCACTAAAAAGGCAGACTTATTTATATTGAAGTATCTAAACGCACAGTACTTTACGCTGACTAAAGATTAAAGATCCACCTATCAAATGTTGTTAAAAAAATAAACGTTAATTGAACTTGTCTATGAGTTTGAGTAGCCCAATCTCAAATAAAAGGTAGCGTAAAGTATTAAGAAATGATAGAAACAAATAATTGGAGTGGACGTTAAAAATTAATAACTATTGGAGGGCCGGACGTCTGATAAATGAATAATGTAGATAATGATAATGTAGGCACATTAAAATATCTGGAAGTCAAAATGTTCACTTTGTTTCAATGTAGAAGTAAGTTAAAAACACTTTCATTTCTCCTCACGAGCCGCTTTACTTTATTTATATAGCAAGTGCACATACATACAGTACATTTAAATTATTTTAAAGAACGAGGTATGCAACTTATATGACTTAGCGACTTATATACCAGTAAAAGCCTTTAAGTAAGTCATTTTAACTGGCCGAAATGAAGTTTATAATTAAAACAGTTATTATATGCATATCATATATAGCAAATCGTACGTGTATTCAATAAAACGCATCTTTTCAACAAAGGAAACATGTCTTGAAAATTAATGTTTTAATTACAAAATGGAATACTCGTAGCTAAATAATTGACTAAAATTTCAGATGGTAATTATTTTATTTGGCGGCGCTATGGTCTTATTCTTTTGTCGATCTCCTCAAATGTTTGAAGGATGGGGCGACTTTATGGAGAAACGATTTGATAGGCCACACAAATTGTAAGTATTTATTGATTATCTTTCCTTTATAAAAACTCTCTTTAATATACGGTTTTTTTACTTTTTCTGAATTATTTATTTTCAGCATCCGAGATTCGGCATTAGCAGCTTTGGTATCCTACCTTATGTTACTTGCGCCATCAAGCTTGTATTTTTTCAAAAACTTCATAGCAAAATGTAAGTGAACCAATGCAATGAACTTTTCTTCTGTTTTAAAACTAATTTCTTTATAATAGTTCCTACATATATAAGTTCTCAACTATATAATATATAGTATAACTACGTGACTTTGTTTATTTTCTGACATATTCAGATCATGACAACTTTCCAAAAACACCTGTACAGTCGGTACTTAACTGGAGTGAAATGAACGCTAAATTACCTTACAGTTTTATGTTTCTTTTGGGTGAGTCGCAATTTATTTTTTATTTTATAGTACTAGCTGTTGCGGCGAGCGTTTCGAGTGTTCCAGTAGGTGGTTCGATGAATTTCACTGTGAATTCACTCCTAAATTTTAGCACTTTTATTCTCCTTTTAATATAAACTTTACTGGTAACTCATCCATAGTGCCGCCTAATGGATCCTGGAATAGCCACCAACCACAGTAATCTAAGACAGATTTTGAGAGATTGATGACATAATTAATAGAATCAGGCGTTACTTTGCGGAAATCCATTATATAAAAGCTTTTAGAAAAATTTACTTCGCAAATTTCCGCGTTATAAAATAAAATGATGTGTCTTACCTAGTATGAAAAGCACCTCCCGCCCTCCCTCAATTGCGTGCACTATCCCCGTCACCACTAATCCCAGCACCGCTACTCCCAACACCACTACACTAGGCGAGACACACCACTGACGATAATACGACACGTGTTTCGCCTCTACACGAGGCATCCTCAGGTGATATAGACTCTACGGTGGCTAACCGCTAAGTGACTTAGCACTTAGCGGTTAGCCACCGTATCTATATATATGGAGTATATGGAGTTGTAACGAAATTTTTACTAATCCAAGTGAATATTCTAAGTTGGTCGACTATTATTCGTTAATTTCTTAATTCTACTTAGCTATGATAGTTATCCTTTTAACTTTATTATATATACTACTACTACTATTGTGTATCCTTTTCACATTTCCAAAAACAGTGGTTTAATTGGTAGGACCTACGACTCTAATGAAAAATACCACTTTAAAACTAAATATTTCGCAAAAGGAATCCTGGATCGAAAGGATGTTATTCCAGACCCCCAATGTTTTTGAAAGACCTATCTCACGATACCCCACATGATGGATTAGGTGGTTAAAAAAAGAATCATCCTTCATTTCCTTGTATGGACAGTACATAAACTAAAAATGTTATTTCACAGTTTTATATGCGTGATTAATATCAATAACTATGCCAAATTACAGATTTGTAGCACCTAGGGTCTCTGAGTAAACCTGCGGACGGACGGACGGATGGACGGACATGGCGAAACTATAAATGTTCCTTGTTGTGTAACTACGGAACCCCAAAAACGACATTATTGACATTGGTACAAAATATAAGTAACTACAGGCTACTGCAACACGACATAGCATAATAGCATATTATTTTTGATATATTTATTATTTAATATTTAGTTCAGTGTGCCCATTAAAATATGTTCCACGCCGATTAACTAATTTCAGCTTAAAATTCACATTTTTATGTATAGAAAAATAAAGGATTAGTTGTTGTCATGACGTTGATTAAGGTTAATTTTTCCTTAAAATTATCATTAAATATTCAAACAGATTGATGTCTTCCATACAGAATTTCATGCATTTCTGCATGTCTTACCAGGTCGTTACTGTATCTAGTGGGGGGACGCCCTACACTTCGCCTGTCAGTACGAGACTGCTAATCGAGAACCTTTTATCCATCATTCAATTAGTTCAGCTGCACTGGTCACTATTAAATCTAGTTGCGCGGCTGAATCGACGTCCTATACAAATGAGGAATTGTTCAGTTTTATCTGCAAAAAGAGATTTGCCATGTCACATTTGTTAATGGTTTTGTATTTTTTAATCACATTATTGCTATTTACTTCTTTATAAATCTAAAAGTTACAATAATAACAGTCGTGTTGTTTCGGATTTGCTTACCAACATAGACTGCTCGCCTTCATACAATATGTTGATCGGTCGAGTGCCCGATCCGAGTTTGAAACCTAGATGTCGCTGTTACCGAGCGATACTCTTATAATGTATTTATGTTTGTGCGAAATTGTTAATTAATTGTTTAAATTGTTATGTATCAGTTTCATAGTAACAGACAGATATTGTTCTTGTATGCGCAGATTCCCCCCGCAAAAACGACAGACCGTTCCGCCGGTGGCACGTGTGCTCTATGTAAATCACATTTCCAACGTAAACTCATAAATAAATTTAATTCAAGATTGAACTTGATCTGACTCGACAAGTGTTTTTTTAAATAACGAAATAATGATTTCGACGAGGTCCTTATCCGTTACTAAATTTTTCCAAGAGATTTATGTCACGAGCTCATAAGTTGTGATACTGTATTATTAAAAAAATATATATAAAGATATACGCATGAAGATAATCGTATTTCAATGAGACAACTACATATTTACATTATGCGTTGCAGGAGGAGGATTTGCTCTCTCTGATGCTGCTAAGAAAACTGGCCTTAATGAGAAAATTGGAGAATCTTTGCAATCTTTGAAATCATTACCCAACGCTGCAATCATTTTAATCATAATAATAGTTGTTATTTTTGTTACCAACTTCGCATCAAACGTCGTTGTTTGTAATGTGTTTGTGCCTATTGTAATGGAGTTGGTAAGTATTATTGCTAATGAAAGAAATATCCACAGCGTTGTTTAACTTGCCAGCATAGTAAAAAATGTTTGGATTTTATATTCAAATATAAATGTATGTGTGACGGACTAGATTTGACCGAAGCCAGCAATCAAAATACCTACATTTGTTACCGGCTAAATCCAATATAAGGGTGAATTACTTTTTCCTTCGCTAAATAATATTTTATGAGTCCCACAGGATAAATTGGCTGTCCGACTTTCCCAATTTGAAAAAGTAATCAGTGATTATTTATTAGAAGTTTTTCATTTTCGCTAGCAACAAATATACTAAACTTATATTTAGTTTTAAAAGGCATTTTTAAATATGCCATACTAAAAATATAGTGAATGATTTTCCTGTTGAAATAACGTAACGTTAAATTATTTATTTAAGTAATACTCGTTTTAATCTCTTTTAATTATTTTTAGGCTAAAAAAATTGATAGAAACCCATTATGGTATGCGATTGCAGCTGGGTTTTCAGCATCATATTGTTTCATGATACCTGTAGGAACTCCTGGAAATCTTATAGTTCAAAGTGCTGCGAGTATACCAACTAAGAAAATGGTACACATTTTTGTTAAACATAATACATACAACTTTTAATTTCTATTTACCGAGTGCTGTGGGCGTAAGGAAATTCTATCACTCCATTTCATCCCGAGGGTGACATCGAAGGTGACTGAGAAATCCCTGGTTATAAACACCACATGCATAAAGACACTGTACCTACTCTAGAGTGGCAATGGAAAGTAAATCCGCCTGGCAAGCGAGGCAATTAAAATTTAAATCTTCCCTACAACAGTAAAGATCCGTGGCTATGTTGTGTTTACGGACTGATGAAAGAAGAGATTTTTTTATTTGGATTATAAAAATTGTTTGTATAGTTTTATTTTTCCTTAAATTTAGCTGCTATAAATGTTTTAAATAATTAATAATTAGATTAAGGTAATCTATTCCCAATCAATAAATCGTTAATTAATTTAATACGAAATTCATTATTACTTTTATTTTATAGATTATCGCTGGGGCTGGACCTACTTTATCCACTATAATAATTACTTGGGCAGCCGTTTATTTCTGGGCTCCAGTAATTTGGAGCGATTTGTTAATTCTACCGGACTGGGCTCATGCACAAACAACATAAATTATTACTTGATTCAAATACTTATTATACTTTGGTTGTTTCCTCTGTGAAAATATATTTCTTTATTCAAATTATTTGTTTCATTTTTTTTTACTACAACTCTTCCTCTACTGTTACTTTTCAAAATATGTGAAACAAGGTATATTATATATAAATGTTTTAGAAAATAGAGGCTGACTGTAAATCATACTAAAACAAAGTCAACAGATTACCAGTTTTATTAACCTTAAAAATTTTGTGCGTGTTTTTGAATTACATCTTCAAAAACACACAACATTTTTAAAATTTCGAAAATGAATCTGAGTTCTCCACATTAAACTATATAATAATCAATGCATGTATTTCTAGTCATGCATCTCATCAAGAATGATTTTTGACAAAGCTTTAAGAAATCCTTCTTTTTAACACAGTATTAAAAAATAAAAAAGAATACAATTATATGAGTAGTTTTCTCGCATGAAATAGTATCTAACAATCATACTGTGTATATAAATGATATAAAAAGGACATTGTCAGAAAGATAAATGATTGCTGAACTTATTTTTTTAAAATCAATTAATTGCTATTTTAACAAAAAAAGTGGTTTTAATGCCTCACGGTGTTGATTTATTTCTTATTTATTATGGAGGTGAATACAATAACTTTTGATAATATAAATTTTTTAACTCAATCTATTTTTAAAGGACATTTCTAATACTCGCCTAAAAACCAACATATATTTAACAATTACCAAAATTCTTGTCCTTAATTATACATTAGATAACATTCATTAGATAGTAACGGACACTTCTGAATTGTGAAATCAATACAAAAAGGAATTTTTCGATTTTGAAACTTTTCCTGTGCATAGATTAATGATAAGTCATGATGACTTATCATTAATCTAAGCTCCTGTGATTTGGCCAATCGCACAATACCTTCACTCACATATTTCAAAAGTTGTCATAAAGTCTAATATATTATGAAAACGTTTATATTTTAAAATATATCTTAGATTAAAATATGCCACAAGGAACTTGGATACAGTGAAATCATCTGTTTTCATTTAAAATAACAATACTATTTTACTCTCTTTGGCTAAATCAGCATAGTGCCACGCAAAAAACAAGTCAATAACGTTGACAGATGACGACACGTCAAAATGATAGACGTCAGATGTGCGATCGTTTTAGCGAATGAAAGGACGTTTGACAAAATACATTTCTGCAAATGTTTTCCGAATCTAAGTGCACTGTGCAGTTGGTTTATTATGCCATAAATTTTTATAAATTACCACTCGGCTTGAACAACGGATATCGATACTCTTCTATATCCACCTACCTGGTTTGAATCACGGACTTTAACCAAATGTACTGACTGAATGTATAAGTTGTAATTATTTGGTATGAATAAAATTAATACCTCATCACAACCATTGAGATATAATGTACTACGTACATCACAACCTGAGTTTTATTTACCGTATAAATGCTAGGCTAAGACTGAACTGCTTATATTAGCAATAACATAGTAATGTTTCTTAAAAATAAAACATAACCTCAAAATCTCTATGATAACTGCTAATATCTAAGTTTTCAGAAGTGTCCGTCGTATTGTTCTCACATATAATTAAGTGTAATTTCGGACCTAAAAAGGTACTTTTTTTCACTGTTGGTTCTTAGGCGAACATTGTATGGACGCAGAACAATGTCCTTTCTTCATCTATCATGTGGGAAGCCATTGAATGTAAATGGCAGTTTAATTTTATTTTGTTTAGTTATAATTTTTTATTCCGCTGTTAGATCCCGAAATTATCGGTCTTTTGAGCAGCTATATGTAAAAACTTACTTTACTATACTCTTTGCCTCACTCCGCGCTCGGCCGCCGTCGGGAGTTGATACTGTATCGCTTGTTTGCAACAGCTCGTGCTGAAAAAGATCGATGTAGTAATACAAAATATTCGAAAAACCATATTTGATACATACTTGACAAGGTAAGATATTTTTATAATAATATATATCTTACCTTGATATATATATTCTGGCTTATTCGAACTTTGTTACCTTTTTTTCTCATTATTAGTTTACTTTTGCTCCACTACCTCCCACATATTTATCTGTGTTTACTCTAATGGTTGACTGGGAGAGAATTCCTTAAGGTATTCAGTTGGCCATATGTACAATTTTTGTTTGGTGCATAAAACTTTAAATAAATAAAAATAACTAAATAAATAATCACAATTTTTTATTGCAATACTTTGTTTAGCTAAAAGTAAGTAGATATGATTTATATATAAATATACTTATGCTTCGTTCAGATCTACAAGCACGTAGCGTGCCCAGCACGTAACGTGGCAGACACCGCACAGACAACAGTTTTCACATCTCACACACCCGGCATGAACAGACGTCATCAGTTAAACTATAAAGTGCACGTGCTTACAAGATTTTTCATAGATAAAATTCTTCTTACATGAAACATGAAGTTTTTCTGCTCCTTGTTTCCATGCGTAATCTTTTTTTTTTGATTGTCACTGTACCTGCGATCACACTTATCATACCCAAATGTATATTAGACACCCGCAGACACTCACCAGCACAGATAAAACATTCTTGTTGATGCTGGCCAGTGCCGGCCCGTGTCTGCGCGGACACACTCTGCTTGCGTACGCTAGATGTGAATATATCTATATATAGTGTATAAAAGAATATTACTACGTCTGCCACGGCACGTGTCTGGCACGCTCAATGTCTATAGATCTGAACGAAGCTTTATACGTCTTGGTCTTTATGTAGTGACCTGAAGGTGTACTTCGGTGGCTGCTACTGGAACTTTTTGAGGAACCCCTAGTAGCCTCTTATATTATCATCATTATTTACATCATCACTAAAGTCTAAGGAATGCCACAAAACATGAATCTGAGCCAACTGTATCCATTGACTTATGTATTTCTTACCTGGTAGTCACTCCATCTAGTGAGGAACCGCCCTTACTTTGCTTACCGGTACTAGACGGCTACTCGAAATCCTTTTCCCCATCGGTTGTCGGTTGCTGCTATATGGTTTTGGCTATATGGAGGGCCATTTGCCACATCAGGCAATCCGTTGGGATACCTTGGTTACTTTCATTTGACTGCGGACATCCCCGTCACGAAGTCTATCACCCAGCCAAACTCCAAGCAAAACCCTCTTCATAGCAAACTGATCAACCTTGAGCTTTCTCGTACGGTAATGAGAGACTACGTCTAAGATATACGTGATTAGTCTAATGCTTAGTACATATCATATTTACAGGCTAACGTACATGTTAAAGTAAAATAATAAGTAACGCACTTTAGTGTTGAAAAACGAAAAAAGTATAACAAAATAACTTATTTTGAAGCATGAAACAAAAAAAAATTACAACAACATCTCTCTGTGTCTTAATTTTGTTAGAAAGATATTTTTAAATTTTATTTTTAATAGTGGAATAAGAATCGTTAAATATGTTAAGATCGACTACTTTGGAAATTACATTAGAAGTTTTTAAAGTTCTGTTAATTGAAATAAACTATGATTTCTCATTCTAGAATTAGGTCTAGGAACAACATATGATATTTTATCCAAAAGATTATTCCAGCTAATTTTATTGTTAACGATTTTATATAACAAGCACAAGTCCATAAGCGCTCTAGATCATTTAATGAAATCATATTATTTTAATTATTTAGTCTTTCAATGTACTCGTAAGTTAATTGCCTGTGTATTTTTTTTACTACAGAAATAATGGTACTTATTGAATTTCTTTTGCACTCGTTCTAACCTATTTATGTGACGGCATAGTTGTGGAGAGATACATCAAATCCAGTCTGAAAGAGAAGCGATGGTCGAGCGTGTGAATGTCATATGCATATATAGATTATTTAATTATACCATTACTTTCAAGTATACGTCTCCTGATGCTACATAATCAAAATAGTGAACAATATTCTTCTACAATTCTTAATAAATCCTAATTCTCTTATTACCAATACATTAAAACTCATTCAGCATTTTATCGCATCCGAATTCCGAACAACTTTAATAAGTTAATCGGTTATTAGGTTTTCCAAACTTTCAGCTGATCAGGCTGATTGTATGTTTATATGCTAACATGCGATAATTTATCTACCTATCACACATTTTACTTATATATATCTTTCAATATTTTTCATTCACGAGTAAAGATTATGACTAATTTACGGATGTAAATTAGTCATAAACTTTACTCAGATCATTTACAAGAATATTACCATTATATCATTTTTGTCAAAAATTAATACTCACAATTTAATCATACATAGCATACGAGAAGGTGATTTTAAATTTATTAAACTACCAAATACATAAGAAATAATCTATTAAATCTCTGGAATTTTTCGTAAAAAATATATCAAAATATGATAAATCTTAAAACTTAAAATTTGCTAAGCTCATTCAATTAAGGATAAAATTTTAATATTTAATTACGCACAGTTTAAAGATTAATAACGCGAACATAAGTCGTCATCATACTCAAGCAGCGTGCAAGCTGTATACATGCTATATTGAAGTTCGTTTTTATACTAGAGGTTGTATTTTAACAAAATATTACAAGGACGAGCATATATCAATGATGACTTGGAGAAATTGTCCACTCAGAAAGATCTTCACCCAGTCAATCCGGCCAGGGTATAAGGCGTACGATGAAAACTTGCCCAGTAGGCTAGCGTGTCACACTCTGTCAAAGGCCTTCGAAATATCAAGGGAAACAGCAAGTGATTCACCATTGTTTTCGAGGGCTTCGCCTCATATGTGAGTGGCATACGCAAGAAGGCCCCCAGTAGATCGATTTCGGTGAAACCTGTACTGGCAATCACTGAGGAGATCGTTTTGCTCTAGGAATGTCATGAGGTGGGCGTTCAATATACGCTCCATGATCCCGTGCACAGTATGGAGTTAATTCAAATTGACCGATAGTGTGCAGGGTCGGTACGGCTACCTTTTTCAGGCACAGGGTGCATA